TTATGTGGATGCTTACAGCTGGGGAACGGGTAAAAGCTCCATTTTCCATCCCAAATCATTTTCCCTATCCCCTATAATTGTAGTGATTATAAGAGTATTAGAAAGATGCTTTAAAACCTAGCATAGCATCTATTTCCCTCGAAGGATTTACCTTGAGAAAGCATTTCCATTTAGGCTTTAATTTACCGAGGCACTCAATCACTTTAGTGCTAATTGAAATATATTAGAAATAGAAATGCTTAATTTTTAGAAAGTACAATGGATTGACTTGCATGACAAATAATGACTATAAACGTAATCCAATTTCAAAACGGTTTACAGTGTGCAAATGTGGCTGTTAATATATGTTACCCCACGACATGAGGCCATAGATCATGACATGTAACTATCTATGTACCTTTTCGCCTTACCTTCCAGCACTATTTTGGATTTTCTGTATATCTCTTTAAAAAGAGATGAGTGCACTTCAACACACGCATCTGAACGGCTAACCTGGGCTAAATTGTACATCTACATAGCAATTTATCTCATGAACAGTGTACTTCTACACTGACTTTATAAAAAAAATACTAAAAGGTACACATATTTGAGATAATTCCTCCACACTGGGTGATGAATAAGTATCATTTTCAGAGGAATGTTTATTACCAAAAGTCTTGATATTAAAACTGGCTACACGGTCGTTCTGGGTAGTACTTATTTTTATAGATTGCTTTGCAACTTTATAAATTTTCATCTAAAGGAGATTAGGCTGCTTTTAGGAACAAGCTGAATGCGGACTGGCGGAGGTTAACTGGAGGTCTTGAAAGAGGCAGCTGCGATGAAAGCCTTCTTAGCCACTGCTCTAGCATGTCACCTTTTTGCTGATTTTCATTTGTACTAAAGCACATCTATTACAAATGGATGCCAGAGTAATGAATCTGATGAATACTTTAGTATAGCAAGGTTCCCTTGGGCAAGAGGAGACAGACTCTCGCGCTAGCAATATGTTTGCCTTCTACTGTTTAAAAGGAAAGGTCAGATTTTTGGACATAATACAGTATGAGTTTCTGACCGTTAGTAATTTCTATGCCTGGATGGCTCCATCTGGAAGCCCCTCCCCAATGGCAGCCCTTCCCCCACACCTAATGTTTTGCGTCATGATAGTGTCTATTCACTTGTCAATAAATGAGGTCAAATGACTTGCTTTACGCTTAGTCCTTGAGGTCCTTGAGACCATGATGAGCATAAGGACTGTGAAAGAGAGCAACACACATCGCATTAAACATGTGGTGCAGCAAACAGGAGAGAGGATTTGGGCGTTTAATCAACAGTGACAGACTCAGGTGTGGCCACAGATGTGTCATATGAGGTAAACCAGTTTTTTCCCCCAAATGAGTGCATGAAACTGCAGATATTTGGCAGCTAAGTGATGTGTTCAGAGCACACTATATGTGCTATATCTCCAACCAAGCTGTTGGAGATAAAGTAGCCTTGCTTATACTTTTTTTTTTAACAGAACTGGCTGTGGCCTAATTAAAAAAAGTGATGAAATGCAGAAAGTGAGGAGGGTGCTTCTCAGTCATGGTTAGGGTCTGTGTTAAGGAGACAGTCAACAATTCCTCCTTTAAATTGTGTCCTGTGGAGTTTGAACAGTCATTTAATGTTCCTCTTTTCCATCTTATGTTGATGGCATCTGCGCTGAGGTGGGGACACCAAGCCATTTAAACTAGATGTTGTCTCTGGCACAAGTGCTTATAGTAAATGTCAAGACCTTTCAGAGCCATAATAATGACACAGTTGAGGAAAATGATACATGGCATCGTTTTTGTCCTGGATAAGGCTAGAAAACACAGCCCCAGTACAATCATGTACAGCCAGAAAATATTTGGTTGGTTGACATGAGGCAATGATTTTAGATTTATACAAATTCCAGACTTTCAAACTAGTGACAGGTCAATTTTGCACCATTACGGAGACTAAGGCCTGTGGTGCAGGTCTTATTTTGTGGCTGAGGGCCAAGTGTCAAACAAAATAACAAAAATAAGCAAGGATCATTGTCTTACCGTCTGTACACCCTCGCTCCCGTTTATTTGCCTCGTTCCTATTGGCTGCCTTCGTAGAACTTAAAATGTAGCTTTTAAAGCACAATCAGTGTATCTTTTGCCTAGCACTCATACCCCAAGTCATACCTCAGTCATACCAAATATTTTCAGTGGGAAAATAGAAATATAGCTGATGGGCAAAGCACAGATCACCAAGATAGAACCACAGACATACTTTAAGAATAGTACTGCAAATTGTAAATGTATGGTAGCAGCCTATGCTTAAGATTTCAGTCTACTATTTCTGTACTCGTAGTAGACTAAATTTACAGACACTCGCTCTTTGCTGTTGATTACAGCTGCTTATCCGTGTGGAAGAGGCTGCCACTGATATTCTGTGTTTCCTGACAGCACAAGAAACTGTTCTTTCATCTAGCTGTCCCCCTACAATTCATAGCCATATGAGTGATTTACTGGGAAGAGTCAAGCTTTATTCAAGTGAATCCAAATGACATGTAAAAGGATGGGGAAGAAAGGGATGAGCAGCTCCTCTAAACAGCATGTTCCCTATGGAAGCTCCCAGTATATTACAAAATGCAGCATATGTGCATAACTTGAATGCACTCATGTAGAAGCAGCAGCACGACTCATTCCAAATACAAGGGCCTTTTGTTAGAGGCTGAAAATGGCATTTAGGTAATCAAAAGATTGAAAGGGTGATGATACACATGTGGACCGTTCCTCATCTTGAAGAGGCTCAAATCATTTAATTGATGTGGACCCACTGTCCAATGTGAATCAGGGCAGCAGTAATGCAGCGCTAAGAATTGAAAAGGTGGGGGGAATGAACATGTGACAGCAGACGCACCTCTCGGGAGCTACTCCATAATCCAGGGGCAGTGACTAATTGCGTGCTTCTGGGTTTGTCAGTATTTGAGAACACTCACATTTTTTAGCCAGCAATCAGCTTTGGGGCACAGCAAAATTGCTCTCTAATAGTCAGGGGCCTTAACAATAGAGAAACTCAACAAGCAAGCACTGTTTTCTGCACTGAGTTCTTATAAGAAATAGTTCATGATTTGATGCCCGGCTCTCAAGACCACTGAAAATTGCGGGGGGGGGGGGCTGGACAGACAGAGCCATGGTTCCTTGTGGTTTGAGAAAATGACTGTGCCAAGACAAAGCAGGCCTTTGTCATCGCTTCACAACAAAGTTTTGCAATGAGATGCAGCGAAGACAGGCAAGTAGAGCAGTTTAAGAGGTTTACAATCTCTATTAGGTCAACAGGTGCGAGGCACAGCAAATCGAGAACTTCACAGTGGTGGCATTCACATGATTGGAGAGAAGCCAAAGAATGGTTACAGCCAGTGTTGAATAACCCATTAATTAACAGTAAGGACCTGGCAATGAAAGCATCTTGAAAATGTTTTCCCTTATCCATTTCCTAGATTTCTAGATGGCATTTACTGAGGCGATGACCCGCTTGTTGAGAGTGTTGCCTTGTCCAGGGGGTGGGAGGCAACTTGTTTATTGAGCTGATTCATAGCATAGGGATAATCTCTGGTCCAATAAACCATTAGGATTGAGGCAAAGCTTCTGCCACTGATCACAGCCAAACCAGATTGACACCAGGGAATTAGACGCCCTGTCTAAAGAGACAGAGGCGTAAGTCAGGGAGGCAACACACTAAAAACAATCAGTACTTAGCTTTTGCCAAGGTAACTCTGGGATGTGCATCATCACACATTTTAACCATCCACATAGTAAGACATTCATCTCCACACAGGCATTGATGATGACCTGATGCCTCAGAAACATGTCCCAATCACGTATGAGACAATAATGACTAAAAGCCCACCTGAGTGGAACTCAGTCAGTCAGCTGCTCTGTATGCGGATCCACACGAAGCATCTCTCAGAGTTAACATCTACAGAATTCATATTGAAATGGGGCAGGCCTGCCCCCTCAGCATTTCCTCAAAGCATCAAAGCGGATATTTGATATTGGTAGAACAAGATATTATCACAGTCCTCCAAAGATTTTGCATCTTTTATTTCTGTGTTTTGTGTCAACCAAAGAGTTTTGAATTTTGAACAGACCACAAAGGCATTTTTGTAATTACAGCCAAAACAAAGCTGCAAGAGTGGTATATTGCAACTTGTGAATTAAATGATCTTTTGAAATGTACTATCATTGTGTTACTATTTTGAAAATGTTTTTGCTGAAATTAAGAATATTTTGACACAAACTCCTTAAAGCACTGGTCCAAACCACGCCCGTGCCTGTTAATTCAGTCCTTACTGGCCAGCTACCTGCGCAGCTGGCATCGTAGCGTACGTGATGGAGGGAGGATGGAGGGAGCGTCATTGCCATAACTCGACTCTGATCAACAGCGACCATAAACACACTCTAAAGCCTCGTTTTCAAACTGCGACATCACATTGCACATTCAGCAAAAACTGACAGAGTAATGTCAGCACTCACGATAAAAGCACGCTAGGCTCCATTTTGCACCTTTTAGCACTCGCAGCGTTTGAAACTGAATGAATGAACGAGCACAATGTCATCAAATAACGTAAGCGATAGGCAGTGGGGTAATGCTAATGTTGGTGATTCGGGCGATATCTGTCTCACCTACGAGCAGCTGTACAATCAAACGCACCACAAAATAACCCATCTTCTCTGTTAAACGATGCACACGAGGGGAAAGTATCTTGGCAAACTTTAGTAACCAGCCGAGCTGAAGAGCAGCGTCCTGCGTAGCTGCTCTGACCGCCCCGCGGTCAGGCGAAAACAAGGAGGGCATGGAGGGAAAACGGCCTGTTGTGTGTTTATCTGGGCGATAACCCGGTCTATAAAAGTAGTTCACAGACATCTTCAAAACGAAGAACTGGTGTTAAGAGTGTGTGCGGTTTGAGGCTTTAGCTCTGAGTGAGTGAGAGCGGGAGAAAGTGAAGTTGCGTTAGCTTGTTTTACCTCAGTAGAGCTGTGTCGCCTTGTCTGCTGACCACACTTTCAACCGAGGAATAGTCCACAGTTTGTCCAGCGGGCAAACAGGACGGCAGAAAGCAGCACAGGCTGAGAATAATCGCAGTAAGCCACTGACCAGAGACACAAGCATCCTGCACCGCAATCATTATGTCCATCACAGCTGTATTTTGTTGCCGCTTTTCCCAAGTATTCTTGTTGCAAATAAAAAATTAATAAAAGAAGCGTGGGGTTGGCTTTTTAAAAAAAGAAAACCTTGACGCGAACGACGCGTTATTTCCACACTTCTCCTCCTCGGAGCCCCGTAAAGAAATGATCCGCTGTATAGTTTCCCAGGTTTGTTTTGCTGGATGTAGAGCCCACTGCACGGGGAAGTGTTACTCTCCAGTGGCTTGCACACCATCTAGTGAGGAAACGCGATGTAAAATGGGAGCAGACCTAGAAGCAGACAACCCCCAGGCTCTGATCCTGTTGCCATGCGGCCGTTTCCCGGGCAACCCGTTCCCAGTGGCTCGTGATGGAGCAATAAAACCGGTAGGTGTCGATACAACCCAGGATCAATTAAAGATATCGACTGGAGAACCACCTCCTATTTATTCCCCATAAGGAAATTAACAATCTGAGCATTTGGTAGTGACGCAGGTCAATCCCATAGGAAAACCCTGGAAAAGATTTTGAGACTGATAATATAACAATGTCACAGACAATACTGTAAAACTTTAACTTTTAATAGCCTGGGCTTTTATTTTCTTAAAGGTTCAGTATTTCAGTAGTAGCCTACACGCTGTCTTGCCTCATATTTTGGCTGTCAGTCACCAGCCTTAGCATCATCAAATTGTAGTAGGATAGTTCAGTGTTTAGTTATTGCTAACTTTTCAGAAATTGAAGCGAAAAACAACTAAATACTTTTAAAAAGTTATATTTGTAGTTGACGAATTTTGGCTTGTTTGTCCACCATTTTGTCCATTTTAAAGTGTACATTGGACATAAAGAAGTAGGCTATACAAAACTTTGATTTGTGCAAAATCACAGATCCCATATACATATTTTTATAACATGTAATTTTTTAATATTATAAAGGTTAGCTTACTGTCCATGTAGAGTGAACTAGATGTCTGCGTGTTGTTTATATGCTCTCATAATGCTAATCCAACACATCTTTGAAGTAGTGTCCTCCATCTAGTGTCCATAAAAAATTTTGTGCTCATTGTTTCTATAAATAAACTAAACAATTGAATTGTGGAGAATCTAACCGATCCAATGATGTGTATCATGTCCATATTGACAAACGTTTAAACCTTTATATTGTTATGTAGGGTGTATGCAGCTTAGAACCAGCTCAAGCAAGGGACCCAGTGGGCTTCAAGAGGTTCTTATACATCAAGAACTTCTATAAAAACCAGACCAGCCTTCTAATTGAGACCTGCGTTAATATGTCAAAACTTGGAGCCACACCAGGCCAGTTGGGACTATGCTTTTAATTGAAGTTTTATGGTATTCAATTAATTTAGGCTCTGGAATTGTTAATGCATTGTATAAATGTGTCATTTTATATGAAATGGTAAAAAAAAGTCCCTTTTGGAGATGTTAGAAATATTAGAGTGATATTTCATTAAGCAAAAACTGCAACAAGCATGTGGGAGCTCACACACACACAGGCCACAGAGAGAGAGAGAGGGAGGGAACATAGCCCTCTGCATTGTTGTGCGCTAAGCCTTTTGAGTTAACTTACATAATACTTAACAGACTGTATATCTGTATCCATGGAAATTACATACATTTCTATGAGGTGACATATTGGCATGGTCCCACTGGGTAATTGCAGATGACATAAGACTTGTTATGAACATAACAGCAATAAAAGGCACTAAATCTACCATGTAGTATGAGAGCGTGTTTTTAAAATTGACTCAGTTTAAGATGTTACAAATTTACTCCTAATTTAACACTAATTTGGTACTGTAACTAGTATCCATGTAAAGTCTTTAAGTTACAGCTGTTATATCTGTTAATCCATAATGTAAGATGTCCCATTATTATTTTTCACCCATGCCACAATTTAATGGTGTTGTTTCAGCTTTTTTTATTTGTTGTTTTCCAGTTTTGAGTTTATTTCCCACATAAAAAGTATCCACTTATTTCCCCCTGAATTTTATATAACTCTTTCCCCAAGTGTTCTTTTAATGTCCCCAAGAGGATCAATATTGTTTCATGATATCTTATCTTAAAATCTTATCTCACAGGCCACAGAGCCAAGATTGCTGTCTGTGATGTTATCAAGATGCACTGTCTGGAGCCGCTCCATTGAAATTAAATGGGGTGAGTTGCTGTGAACTCCTCAACGGTTTGCTTCAATTTTTACACTAAAATAAGCTTTAAGGCTATTGCCTTTAGTTTAAAATAAAAAAAGGAGCCTTGCATTCTCCGTAAATTCATTCTGGGTGTTGTGAGAGTTGCCTTTCCATCGTTGATTGTTATTTATCTGAGGAGATACAATGTTTATTGTGGTGGTATGAGTGTAGGAGTTGGGACACATTTCTATTTGCAGGCTGAGACAGAGAGCCAGGAAGCTGGTTTCCAGAGGTTACAAGGGACATTTCATTGTGTTGGAAACGAGTCAACAGCCAATGTTCCATGACAAGCAGCATTAAAAGAGGGGGTGTGAAAAGTTCATCTTGTCACAAACACAATTCTGATTTGCATAACTGAAGCTCCCTCTACTGTTAATAGCTGTGATAATACCATTAATACCAACACTTATACTCTGGTTTTGTGACAGAGCTGTTTTGGGCTGAAACAGGAAGATATTTTCCATCTTTCTCTTATCAGTCACAAAGTTGAATTTTTTTTCTCTGTGAGCCCTTCAAGTTACCTCAGAAAATGAACCTTCCCATGCATGAAAGCTATAATTACAGTGACTCCATTTAGTGTTAGTGCACTGTGCAGAGGTTGGAGAAGACTGGCAGCCTCTAATATTCAACTCATAATAACCTCAGAAATTATGAGCAAGATGAAAGAGATCAGGCACTGGACTATCACAACGTCTGAGCTGTTTTTATGAGGAATGGATACCTCAGATGTAGTTTTCATAACCATCTGTCTTTTAAAAAGCCAAAATGAAATCAGTGTATGCATTTGCTTTAATAGGTAGTAAAACAACTGACAAGAAACTGACCATTTTTCTCAGGACGACTTGTTTGCCTAAAAGGTTTAAATGTACTTCCTCAAGTATTAATCCAAAATTAATTGCCTTGTTTGTCTGTTTTAGAGGTTATGGAGAATATCTGCTGCATTAAAACTGTGGTTAATGCCTTAACTGTATGTTAATATGCTGCATATCCTGCCTTATTTTGACCATTCTGAGTAAATGATGAGCTTGGACCAAAAAGCTAATAAAAAAGAAATCTTTATTGTTGTCTGATTATTTTGTTCAGGTATGTTTGGCTTTACACACAATATCAAGCTCAGTTTATGGGACAAATTTAACACAAGTAATACAACATATTGAAAGCTATTGTTTCCTGAAGTTGGCAAGTGCATGGTCATTTTTCTGTAATAGTGATTTGTTTGGCTATTATGAAAATGGATGAAATCCTACAGGGAAGTGTGCCAATCAATCCCAACACACACCGACAGCAAAATGCAGTTCTATTAAATGCATCCCCGCAGCCTGCAGGTTTACAGGACATAAGAAAGATCCTAAATAATAAATAAATAATTATAAAGCTTCATGTAGAACCGCATCCCCATCTCCAGTTTTAAATTGAGATTGTCTTATTTATTACATAGCAAATGGGCAATACTGACTGAGTGCATAATGAACAAATACATGTATTCTCAGTAAATTCACTAACCATATGAATTATTCATTCAGATTTCCATTGACATCCTCTGGGACAAGACAGCAAATCAGTATTTCTAAGTGGATATCTACTTTTCTAGTCTTCCACCAAACACATTAACAAATAATATCAACATTTCCTCACAGATGTGAAACAGAGGTTACTGAAACTCTCCTGCAACTTCTTATCTGCAACTATCCCTGGTCACGAGATTGCAGCGCAGTGACTCCCTTCAAGCACTGATGCCTCAGAAAATGAAGTGGGGCCACGTTCTTTTAAAAGAAAAATTAATATCGCCAAACAATGTCATGCACAGAAGAGACGTTAATTATTTTTTACTGACATTTCAATAAAAGAGAACAAAATATGTCAAAGTGTAAGAATTTACCTGCAACAAGACAGTGGTTTGATTAACCTTTGATAGTCTACACCGTGAGGTGTGATAGATTTGGAGCTTTCTGGCAGATGGCAGAGGATTACAGCAAAAAGTAGACTAGCAAATTCAGAAACTACATCATCTCAGCTATGACATTCAGCTTTCAAAAAAGGCTGACCTGACTTTCTAGGAAACACAAAACAAGGAAACCTTAATGCCTTTTCTTTTGCCCTGAGTTCTTCACCTAAGAAATTCCATTACAGTATGGCATAGTTCAACAACTGCCACTTGTCTGAGTAGAGAGCAATGTATTACATTTCTCAAACTGTGCCTTACTGTCAAAGTCCAAATGCACATTTATAACATAGATATAGTGGACAAAACACATTTTAAATGAACTATAGAGTTTGATATATGTAGCCCTGCAGCAGTGATTTATTTTGAGCCTGTCCTTTCTTTACTTTTCCTGCACTGCCTGTGTGGGACAAAACCTACAGCACTCATGAGTCAAAACTGATTTGTTCTTTCAGACGGCACCTACCACATTTCATACATGGTAGATAGTTCAAAAAGCTCTCCTGAGTCATTAAATATAGCAAGAAGCTGATCTTTCATCCCCAAGAGTGCCGTTCACTATGAACTTTCGATCAGCATGTGCAGAAAAGCCATACAAGTAAAATTAAAAGAGGGCGGGAGAGAAAAGTTCATCTTGTCCCAAAATATGTTGAGAATATGCAGCACTGGGGAATTACAGACATCTTTATAGTTTTTTGTTAACTCTCATCGCTTAAATGTGGAGCAGCTGTCTGAAACAGTTGAGTGCCCAGTTGGCTGGATGCAGAGTGGTCCGTGGTGTATCAAGTGTGCTTTAGGCTACATAATAATGAGACTCTGGGAGCCAACAGTGGATGAAGCTACAGATGAAACCACCATAAAACTAAACTGATAATTTACTGATCATAAGCACCCAAACATGTTATACAGCACAACAATTTGTACTTGCACTTGTAATTTCATTAGTCCCACATAAACAAGAATTACTTTTTAATATACAACTTTAAGGCAGATAAAAATCGTAGACTAGATCAGATAAGTATGCCGTAAGATAAATGTGTCAAAATGTGGCCCCCTGTGTGGAACTTGTGCCAAGGGGTTCTTTCATTTATTTATTTCAAGATGTCACTAACACTGGTCAAGCAACCTTGAGGGGCAGGGTCAACCGTAATGATTGATTGTTCCAGATATTTAGACCAAAGCCATTGATTCAGACCATAGACTGAAT